TTGTGAAGTGAGAACTGAAGTAATTGAATGAGAAATATTAAATCGTCCGGGCAAACCTTTTTTTTTTTTTTTTTTTTTTTTTTTTTGTTTTGTTGTTGTTTAATTTCTTGTTTTAGATTTATTATAGTATTTGAACAGAACATGTGGCAATGATTAGATAATTCTTCAGATTATATAAATTTTATGCGTTCTGAGTTATAAATGAATGAAATGTAATGCTCTTAAGTGAACCTAGCGCCAGAGTGTCACTATGGTAAACCAATATAGTGAATTTTAAAAAGTGCATTTATTCTAGTGTGGTTTATGTACTATCGATGAAGTAGATTCAACACAGCTCCGTTCTAAAAATTTTAGGTATTTTCACCATGTTCCAAACTTTCATTAAAAGATATTTTCTTACTCTTATCAAGTTCGCTAACTGTGATGGTGTCGGAATCGTTTTCTTGGTGTGGTGATTTCAAAACAGAGCCAATGATTTCATCATCGGTCATCTGATATGCCAGTCCTCATCTGAACACATCCATTCAATGGTATCTTCTTGCAAAGCCTCCTCATTTATTATTTCTTTCGAATATAAAGCAATTCTCTTGCTTTAACCCTTGCTGCACTTACCCTAAAACCGAGAAAATTCGCTGTCATCACTCTCAGTTTCAATAAACAGAGAAGATAGCTATAAATTATGCCAGGCATTTACTAATGTTGCTTGGGAAACAGAATTCTATGATTTAGCTAACAAATAAATGCAGTCTCTGATGGTGATTATATGCATATATACAGTGGTACCCAAAATTGTGGACACTTTTGGAAATTTTTATGTTTTAGAACTTTGTGTGCTTATAGAAAATGTTACTTTTTGCAAAATGCAAACTTGTATATATCATTTTAAAGAGAATTTATTACTGAATTCAATACAAAACACAAAATTCAGTTATTTGCAATACAAAAAAAGTTATATGTACTTTAATATAAATAAAAAACACAGTGATAAAGTGGTTTGTAATGTCTAGCTTTCCTGGCCAATCACTGTTCTTGTTCTGAGAACCAATCAAATGTTAGTAACTGCCAGTAGAAGTTGACATCATGTTTACACTTGAAACAATTCATTATTTTGCTTTGTTCTGTAGAAGGAGGACCTGTTTCTTATACACTACAATTACAATTAGGAATTTTTGTAAAAGTTTTTAATATTTAGTCAAGAAGCAATGACATCAAATAAAAGAGTAGATTGGACACCTAGAAAGAGATGTAATAGTATTGTGTTGCAAGAAAGTGGTCTTTCCTATGCTGAAATTACAAGACAGGTGGGTGGTTCAGTGACTAAATCTGGAGTTCGAAAATTTTGTTTACGATATCAGGAGACAAATTCAATAAAAAACAAAGAAGGAAAAGGCCGAAAAAGGTGCACGACATCTATTGATGACAGAAGAATAAAAAGACTATGTCTCCAAGATAGAAAAATATCATCAGCAGCCATCAGAAGTGATCTGAATGATGCTGGTGTTTCTGTCAGTTCAAGAACAATCAGGAGAAGATTAACAGATGTTAGACTGAGAGGTAGAATTCCACGAAAAAAGCCTTATCTTAATTTTCATCAACAACAACAAAAAAAAAAAAAGGACTACAGTGGGCAAAGGAACACATTAATTGGACAGATGATCAGTGGTCACAAGTTATATGGAGTGATAAAACTAAGATATCGTTATTTGGTAGTGATGGATGAAAATATGTAAGACGTAGAATAGGAAAAGAGCTATATCCTGACTGCATTCAAGCAACTGTGAAGAACCCGGTTAGTGTCATGATTTGGTCATGCATGTCAGCAGATGGTATTGGTCGCCTTCATGTCATCGATGGGACACTGAATGCCAGAAAATGCATTGACACTATTCTAGAACCAAAACTTCTACCTTCCATCAGAGATCTCTTTCCCAATAATGGTTCGTTTATTTTTCAGCAGGATTCTGCTCCTTGCCACATGGCTAAAATATCGAAAGTGTGGTTTCGTACAAAGAGCATTAAATTGTTGTCATGGCCAGGAAACAGTCCTGACCTCAAAATCCTACCGAAAATTTGTAGCACTGTTTGAAAACTCTTGTCCGAATAAGGCGCTAATGCACTGTTTGAAAACTCTTGTCCGAATAAGGCGAAAATTTGTAGCACTGTTTGAAAACTCTTGTCCGAATAAGGCGCCCATCGAATAAAAGGGAACTAATTGAAGCTATAATTGTTTCCTGACATCATATAATAACAAAAGAAGAGCTTAAAACTCTTGGCAGTTCAATGAAACGTCGATGTGAAGCTGTAATCAAAAATAAAGGGTACCCTACTAAGTACTAATAACTCACTGCAATCATCACTATCTAATGTATATTGATAACTGTTATCGTTTAACTTTTTTTGTATTGCAAATAATTGAATTTTGTGTTTTGTATTGAATTCAGTAATAAATTCTCTTTAAAATGATATATACAAGTTTGCATTTTGTGAAACGTAACGTCTTCTATAAGCATACAAAGTTCAAAAACATAAAAATTTCCAAAAGTGTCCACAATTTTGGCCACCACAATATATAATCACAAATCACAGATTTTATATATATATATACATATATATTATATATATATATAATCACAAAGTGAAATAGAATGGTCACTTGAAAGAAAATTTTTCAGAAACTATGATTTATAGTGGCATTTAATACTGTGTATTATGCCCTGGGTTCATTGGTTAGATTGATTAATGATGTAATATTTGGTAGCAAAAAAAGGCCATGACATTATCACATGTTAAAATGTTTGCATCTGGATGTGCAGAGCAGTTGTCTGACAACAGTAATATCTTGCAATGTGATGGTAACTCCATGCTGTTACAATGGCCTCTTTAACGAAATGCTCTAAGAACCATTTGGTCATAAGTTGTTTCGTGAACCAGGAATTTTTATTATTCCTGTAAATCACAGATAAGGATTTTACTGGTTTCAGAGCTCTGAGATTGGTGCTATTACCCACTCCCCCCCACACACACACACATGCTTTCAGATACCGTAACTCTGCTTAAATCTGTTCAGCCAACCTCTGCTGAAATCACATGACTTCTCTATTTTTAAATCAGCATTAATCTGATTTCCCTTTTCTCTCTGGAGTGGTCCTGGAAATTGGTACCCCATCACTCCGCCACTGCCGGAACTAATTTTCAAGAGAGCATCAAGTTTCCCGATTTCGCCTCATGCTAAGATTTCTGGTGTTAGAATCACTGCTGCTGTAAAATTTCAACAACTTTTCTTTATTTTTCCATATGTCGTACATGGACCGTGTCACAATTCCGTAGAATTTTTCTATAAACCGAGGAGTAGTACATGCCTCCATCTTTTGCAAAATTTTCACTTTTTGCATTACCATCAATGCAACGTGTTTACGTTTTTCAACGTTGCAAGCAGTAAAATCATGAACACATTTCTTATCTGTCATTGTATTGAAAAGTGCTGAAATTTAAAACATTTCTAATTTATCCACAAAATATCCAGATAAAAAAAAGACATCATTAAACAATCGGTATTTTCATTACGACTCATTATTATTCGATAATTATGGCATCATTATATGGTGAGTTTTTTTTTTTTTTTTTTTTTTTTTTTTTTTTTTCGTTCTCCACGTTGCAGTTTCCAGAACCTATAAACTGAATGTTTATATTTTGAGAGGCAATGTCAATTTCAAGTCAAGAGATTTTTTTTTTTTTTTTTTTTTTTGAGTGTATAATTTTTTCTTAGAAAAATGCTTGGTGAGAAGCTATTGATACATGTAAAGATACATGTCCTTTCTATTGTGTTTTTCAATAAGAATTATTTCTGTTTCATAGCAGCAACCAGATAAATTAAAAGAATCTGAAAAACTATTTTGTTATTTTATGATTTACTTTTGTTTTGGAACAATGAATATAATTATTTCTAAACATAATGTGGATTATTTTTTTCAATCTTTGTTACTCATAGTACAGTCAAATACCGAAAATCCGCCGACCTGAAATCCGCATTGCCTCTCAAAATACAATCATTCAGTTTATACGTTCCGGAAACCGCAACATTGAGTACGAAATATCGAAAAAAAAATACTTGCCGAATAATGATGTCATAATTATCAAAAATAATATTGAATCATAACGGAAATACCAAATTATTGACATAAAAAAAGTTTTAAAAAATAAGATGAAATAAATTAAAGTTTTTTCCCCTCTAATCTGCATCGAGGTAAAAAAGCAGATGATTCACTCAACTCTTCGTTCAAGTTCACGATTCACGTTGTATTTTCTGAGCTTTGTTATTTCACGAGATTGTTTAGTGCTGCCTTTTTTTTTATCTGGATATTTTGTGGATAAATTAAGAATATTTTAAATTTCAACCCTTTTTAATACAATAACAGATAAGAAACGCACTCATGATTTTACTGCTTGTATCGTTGAAAAACGTAAACACGTTGCATTGACGGTAATGCAAAAAGCCAAATTCTGCAAAAGATGGAGGCAGGTGCTACTCCTCGATTTATAGCAGAATGGTATGGATTGTGACATGATTGTGTATGATATATGAAAAAATAAAGAAAAGCTGTTGAAATTTTACAGCAACAGTGATTCTAAGACCTCAATCCGAAACTGGAAATTTTTGCTTGAGGCGAAATCAGCAAACCTTGATGCTGTGTACATATAATGCAATAAATAATAATATCAATTTATATATGTAACAATAATTTAATGCATATAATAAAGTATTGCAATAATGTATATAATAATTTAATGCATATAATAAATTATTGCAATAATGTATATAATAATTTAATTAATTGTATCTAATATGCCTTATTTATTTTGCACTTTTAGTCCAAATATTATGCTTTATCTTTTCTGTCCTGAAATCTGCACAACCTCTGGTCCCAAGCTTTGCGGATTTCTTGACTTCTACTATATAATGTTTTCATTCTTTTTTGAGTGTATTATCCCCCCCCCTACAGGAAAACGTTTGGTGAGAAGCTACTTATTGATACATGTAAAGAAGACTTTGCACCCAAGGTAGGTGGTTTCTCTTTCTTAAGTTTACATATTTTAAAATGTCATGATTATTATATATTGTTATATTCATTTTTCTTATTAGTTAGCTGCTGTTTCAGCACTGATGAATCTTCCACATCTCCAAGCATTTGTTTTCCGTAATTATGATTTTCCTCCACATGTTCAATCTTACTATCGTGGTAGCTGTAGATATAGAATGTGGGAAGCCATCCGTGCTTCAGGTGCTGCACCTGGCTATTTTGAAGAATATTGTTTAGATGATTACCTTCATCAGGTAAATTTTTGAACAATATATATCGTATCCTTGTTACTTAACATTTGCACAATTGTCAAACTTTTAATGTGGAATTTTTAAATTCTTATGTTGTATAAGTAGCTCCTTTATTTATAAATTTCTATTATTTATTTATTTATTTGAATTTTATAAAATGCATTATACCAACAACAATTAAACTTTTTTTTTTTTTTTTTTTTTTTTTTTTTTTTTTTTTTTTTTTTTTTTTTTTTTTGCTTTTGCAATAACATCTTAGAGCCATCTAACGTGTAAAAGATTTAAGCAAGTTTTTATTTTAGTTTTAAATCTTCTGCTGATAATCTGTATATGTTAACTGTAAGTAATTTTGAAATTTGTAAATGACGCATACAATTTTAGTTTGTTTTATTTTTGGCTTCCACATTATGATAGTTTATTTTCCAATTTTGTAAAAGTTTATCTAACTAACTAGATGTAAAAATAATTTAATCAAAATAGATTTTATTGCTTTTATCCATTGAAATTAATTTTATATTGCATCATGTGTCTTTTATGATTCTTTGAATTCACTTGATATGAGATAAAAGGGTTAATCAGTATTCTGCTTTTCCCATTTATTTTAGATAATATGTTATGCACACATTACATATGAGAAACAATAATCACTATTAAGCATGATTTCCACATTTATGGTTAACCCTTTGACACGCGATATATTATTTTTATCATTTTTTAACTGAAAACTCTAGAAATTGAATATTATGGTCCTAGAGATAAATAATATATGAATTTTAAAAAATCTGCTCTTGCCCATTGTTCTGTGGGTGGTGGTCGCACTGTGAAACCACCGCGCGTCTGGGACTTTGAAACTTACTGAGGCAGTAGGGAAAAAAAAACTTTACATTTCTCCGTGGGCGTTTCCAATAAATGAGGAAATTTACGAATTAAAAAAAAAAAATGTATATAAGAATTGCATTATATATAATTTTTTTACATTATTTTACAAAGTAAACCATAAGAAAAATTAAAAAATAAACATTTATATAATTTTTCTCTTGGTTAAATAAGGATTAAAAAAATACTCCATTTTTTTTAAATTTCGAAGAACAAATTTTGTTGTGACGCTGTTCAAAGCATGTTTTGTCTTTTTGGTACATGCATAGACCCACATTGCATGTTTTGTCCATGTATCTTCTATGAGGTTTCTTCCTTGTGCCAAAAATATACACCGCTTGGATCTAAATTTCACTGGTATATGCCCAACATTATTTAGTTTCTTTTCATCTGGCACATGAAATTTGTGGTTTTTTATGTTAATGGGGGGGGGCTTAGTCTTTTTGGCTTTGGTACGGATAATTGGTTTCCCCATTCATACTTAGTTTATCTGTATTTCGTCTCAAAATATTCAGAAAATATTTTTAATTTAAATAAAACTTTACGTGCTTTCTATTTTTAATTATAGCAAAGTATATTTGCATTAAATTTAAACCACAGGAAATAATTTATAAAATCACAATTAGCTTGGGTAGCAAGTGTGTTGAGGTCAGAGAAAAGTGTCTGGAAAAGAAGGAAAAGAAAGACCTTTTTACTGGGCAGGTGCATGTATTGTTTAGTAATAAAATAACTCTGTAGTTTCAAAACCCCTTATCTACATCTGGGTAAAAATAAACATTCCTATTTGAGAAGCAAGCAGACGCCATTGTGAAGAGCAGTGGTTTCAAGGCATGACCACCAAGCCTCTAGAGCATTGTGACACAATGTTCTAGTGGCGCAGTGGTTGCGCCCTGAAACCGCATAGCAAATGCCATACATATAGAGGTTTTTTTTTTATATATGCAGTGTAATTATTGCTATTTTTTATTGTTATGATAGAAATCATGATGTACGATGAATAAATTTTCAAATTTAAAGTTGTTTATATTAATAAAAGAAAGTTATTTTGTCTCATTGAAAATGAATTTTAAAAGGCATCAGATTTGAAGTACTAAGACCTAAAACATGTATGATTCTGTAGTCATTTTGTGTTATTTAGAGGTAAAAGATCAGTAATCAATTGGTTTAGTAATCAATCAATCAAAAATTTCGGAAAGAAGAGAAGAAAAAAATTCGAAAATTGGTGGTTTCAGGGCACGACCACTGCACGTCAAAGGGTTAAAATATATGTATCAAGTTTGCATGCTGTTTGTTAACATAAAAAATGTTGTAAGATGAAATGCATAATTAAGTCAATTTCAATTTATGTGTAATTTTTCAGTGACTGCATTTAAGATTACTTGCATAATTTTTTTCTGTTAAATGATTTTCTTATAAAAGATGAAAATCTTAGAAATTTTAAGTAATTTCTGTGAAAAAAAAGTGTTACATTTGTTTTACACAACAAAATTCTCTGTGTTACCCATTCATAATCACTATTAAGCATATTGATAGTGAGATAGATAGGAAACTGCGTGAAAATGGTTCTGTTTATCTTCCCTATCTCCCTGTAAACTGAAGAACCAGTCTCAAAGCTGGTTTGTGCACTTGAAATTTCTCATGATATACTTTGTAGAGGTAAAAAAGAAGGAATTTCCCTCGATTTAATCTGAAACTAAAACTAGCATCCTTATGTTGAATTTTCAGCTTTTACTGAATATTTTCAAGAAAGGGAGTAGTAATGATAATATTTTTGCATTGTAATTAAAATTTTATAAAAATTGGCTTAAAATTTTTATTAAATGTCAAATATGTGTCACACAATATGGTCTCAGTTTGAAGTATGTTTATTCTGTGATTTATTTTTGTTAAAAAACATCAAATGAAAGTATGAAAAAATGTCATAATATTTGAGCATTTTTAGTATAATTTTGTAATAATAATATCAGCCATAACAAGTTTGGGTAAATTAAAATTTGACCTGTTTAACTTACAGGATGGTGGTATCATGGTGAACAACCCCGCTGCTCTTGCTATTCATGAAGCTCAGCTTCTGTGGCCGTCAGATGGCATACAGTGTGTGATGTCTCTGGGAAGTGGTCGTTACATCCCACCAGTACAGCCAAATTATACTTCTACAAGCTTAAAGACTAAAGTTCTTAAAGTGATTGACAGTGCAACAGATACTGAAGGTATTTGATTTCTTCTCTTCAAGTTTATAATTTTTTTCACATTTATTGTTTGTTAGAAATTTTAAAATAAAAAAATTAAGTAGTCTTTGTCATTTGCATTGAGTATACACTTTTTAAGTGCTTTTATTTTATTGAAATTTAATTATTAAGTCAACAAATGCAGTATGAAGATTGGATTGCATACAGTTTTGTAAAACTGGTATAAGTTGAAAGTATTTTAAGATAAAAGTAATAAGTATTAAATAAAATACCAAATACTGGTTTATGTAATTAGATTAAATTTGGAGCAATTTGAAAACTTTAGCGAAGGATTTCTAATTTGGCATCTTACTGATCACTCTTTGTGACCCTTTTAAAAAGCTGCATTTCTTTAGATATAAAAGTATGGTGCAAAACATAATAATAACAAGCATAGAATGTGATTTTTATACAAATATGTTTGCATAAACATCACATTAAAAATCTTGAGATGTCAATACTTAGCATTTTAAAATGTGATTTACAGTCCAGCCACCAATTTAGTGATTTTCACAGGAATAAGGAAAATTATCTCTGAAGCAGGGAGGACTTATATTAGCTCAATTTTACATATATATAATACAAAATTTTTGTGTTTGTACATACCTGTTATCTAAGCTCATAGATAACTATGAAAAAAAAAATCATTAATTTGCTTCTTTACATTTTAAAGCAATATAGGACCAATGTTTTTTTATGAATAATAGAAAATGCACTTAAAATTACCTTGTCCCGTCATACATTAAGTTGTTTATATGCGTCAGAACCTCATCTGCTTCAGAAGAGGTGACAGTCATATCTATTTTATCCACCCAGTCTTCATCTTTGGACACTTTTGGATTCATTTGATTTCATAGCTTCTGTGTATTAGTTATAAATTTTTTCAGCTATTTGAAGTAAAAATTTCTTCATATGAATAGTGTTTTCATAAATACAGGTTGAAAATAGCGGAGTTAGTAATAAATATCACATCTTTTAACATAATTTAAAAGCTTTGTATATATCTTCGCAAGATATTAATACTGTATGTGGCTTTAGACATTATCAATTTTGTATAAACCATTGTCATTAAGCTGAGGAAATTTACTACTAATCATAGAGAATCTGATCTTTGTTTTATCTGCTTTAAGTCAGGTAAATGAAAAGAAGCATTCAGTATATTGCTAAATTTGGGTTACATTGTACTTCCCCCTTCCATATCTCATTTTGTTCATCAGTTGAAAAATTTATATTAAATATATTCAGATGTATATAAGGAAGACAATACATTTTCTCACTAATAGCAAATTCCAATTTAAAAAATAAATTATTTCCTAATATAATAAAAGACAAATACAAAATAAAGTATTTTGAGTACTCAACCAGTTGATTAAAATAATGCTATTGTCTGAAATATGCAGAAAGTACAAAAATGCTTTTAACAATAGATTTTTATTGACTTGTTTATTTTCTTTCTTTCTAGGAGTTCATGTCATTTTAAATGATTTATTGTCTCCTGACACATACTTTCGTATCAATCCATATCTAACAGAATTTTTTACTTTGGATGAGAATCGAGCAGAAAAATTGGATCAAATGAAAATTGATGCTCAGATGTATCTAAGAAGAAATGAATACAAGTTTTTTAATGCTATTCAGACTCTTTGTTTGAAAAGAGGCTCTTTCAAGAAAGTTAAAGATTGGATAAGTGTTCGTAAAGATATGTTATTGTGATTTATATAGTAAGATTTTTTGTGAAGTAACACTGTTTCATATATATTTAATAAGTATATAAAACAGCAAAGTGCAGCAAAATTCAAATAGCAACTATAAAATAGTTCTTCCAATTCCCATGTAATGAAAAATTTTAAATTCAGTGATGTGTATGATTCAACGATAAATGTTTTAATGATGTATGAAATTGTAAAGAAATGTAAAATTCTTTTGAAATCAGATTTACTGTATCGTGCCAGGATATATTATGGCATAAAACTGTGATAATAATCTCAATTTTAAAGGATTTTTCACTTTTGTGTCACTAAATTAATTGAGGGTTGGGTTTTAATCCCCCATCCTGAAAGATAAAAGACAACTTTTACATATAGATTATATTTGAAAAGTTTTTATTTTATTGTTTCTATAGGACATAATGACAGTTTGTTATTTAGGTAATTTATTTATAGTCATTTTTTGTAAATAAAAATATATAGTTTATTTATATTTGAGTTATCACTCTTATTAATCATCTGTTTTTGTGTTGTGTAATATGCATAAAATAAAAAAAATTGTTTTAATGAACTGTTTGTTTTTCCTTCAACTGTATTATTAAAATTTTGAGTTTTATTGTATTTTTGATTTTCATCTCCATCATGTTACATTTATAGAGCTTTTTTAGTTTTTAGCAACTACAAAAAGTTTCATGGAGCTTTTATTAATGGTGAAGGATGTAGAATGATCAGAAAAATTTCATGAATCATTTTATATTTGTCATAAACATGCTGCAGTTTAAATACTGATTCCAGAGTTTTTGAAAGCTTTTGTACTTTATATTTTAATCTCACTGTTCTGAAATCTAACATTTTATTCTAAAATTAAAAAAGAAATGTACTGTAATCTTTAAAAAATTTGTATCATTTAGTCCCTGTATCATTAAAATCCTCTTATCTAGTATTTTTATACACCAGTCATATTTTGAGTATTTTTTACTTGTAATTTTTAATTATGACTTGATTTATTTTAAGAATAAAAGTAAATGCATTTTTCCTCCAAACAAAATTTTAGGTTTTATGTAATTATTTTTCCATTTATTTTTAATTTAAGCTATATCTAAATTAATTTTTACTGAAAATAACAATTAAGTGATAGAAAACTGTTGGTGAATATCTTCAGCCTAAATTCATTCAAATGTGTATAGAATCAAATTCATTAGAATATATAACATATATATAACATATTAAAAACTTTGCTTACAGTGCTTATATAAAAATTTGATTTAAAAACATTTAAAAATGTAAAAGATTATTTTTTGTGAAATAATTACTTTCTCATGTCTGCATGACTATACATAAAATCCTTTGGCATGCATTTCTAGAAGTTTCTTTAGTTTAACTTGTTTCGTTTTTCTCCTTTTATTCTTCGCTATCTTTTTACTTCCTTGTATGAAGTAAAAAGGAAGTATTGTAATCGCGAAAAGTTTCAGGCAGCATATTTCAACGAAAATATCCCATTTTGACCTCTTTCAAATGTAATTTAACGTATATTTCCGTGATATCTGTATGTAAGGACAGAATAAAACACTACTTTCCTCCAAAAAAATTATAAAACTGCTTTAAAATGAATTCTGAAGAGAATTTTTCATGGCATCTGTACGAATATATGTATGTACGTGCGTACATACGTATCTCACAAAACTCGAAAACGAGTAGCCTTAGAACGTTGAAATTTGAAATTTTGTATATAGGACTGCTATAACATGTAAATGTGCACCTCGTATTTTGGTTGCAATCGGCCGCACCTAACGTATATAAATACTATATTTAGTATATGTATATCCACTCTGTTACTCGGCACAGTGATCTCAGTTTCTTTACTCTTATATGTTTGTAAATTGTACATTTTTTGCTTTAAAAATGATTGAATTATGTTGTTCTTATCTTCCGGTTAAGGTTTTTATGCCTTTCGTAATTCTGGAAGCAATATTTGTACAATTATCAACAATTTAAAAGCTTTTTAAGTGCGGTTAAGTTTTATATAACATGGCGGACATATTTGTTTACATTTGAAACAGCAGAATTGTAGATTTCTTGCCAATCCAGAGAGACTAAGCTTCGCAACACAAAAATAACACCTTCATTTATTATTGCGAATTAAATCATGCTTAATCGTTTCTGGAATTTTTTCGAGGAAATAAGTGTTTAAGATTTACTTCGTAATTTTTAATGCAGATATTTTGAGTTTTTATGTATTTTGCCTTGTCGGCGAAGTGAGAACTGAATTAATTGAATGAGAAATACTAAATCGTCTGTGAAAAACTGTTTCTATTTTTGTTTTGTTTCTTAAGCTTTTTATTTCTTTTATTTAGTAGTGTTTGAATAGAACATGTGGCAACGATTAAGATAATTCTTCGAATGATATAAATTTTGTGCATTCAGAGTGTCGTTATAGTAAACAAATATAGTGAATTTTAAAGAGTGCATTTATTCTATTGTGGTTTATGCGCTGTAGACGAAGTAGATTTAATTCAATCCAATCAATTTAAATGAAATTCAAGAAAAAAATGCGTATAATTTAATATTCCGTACAAGGAAGTCATGTGGTGTACATATCAGATTTTTTTAATTTACTGTTAAAATGTTGGGAAAATGAGAAGCTTTCTCATAAAAAAACATAAATTTGGAACCATAAAATAATTGTTTTTTTTTTTTTTTCCCCTTTAAGTAAGTAAAATTATTAGGTAAATTAGATTATGATATATCAACATTGGAAACATTTTATTTATTTATTTATTTTTCTGGGAGAAAAAGAACAGAAATATAAACAATTGCTGTGTAAAAAATCTGCTTCAAGAAAACTGCCTGTAGAAGAATAAAATTTTCTCAAAGTTCAGCACATTTTGCTGAAGCTTTTATTCCACAAAATAAGCCTCTCTGTATAAATACAGAAGGCCATTAAAATAGCAAAAAACCAATTTTCTTTTGAAATTCGATAGTTGCCTAAATTTAAACTGTACTGTCTTATTGGAATCTCATCATATATATTATCATAAGAACAGAATTCAAAGCTGTCCCATATGAAACTAATAAAAACTGGTTCAAAATATCATTCAATGAAATATATGAATATCAGCAGAAAGACATTTCTCACATTGATTAAATTCTCTTTTTTCCATATCATATCTACAAGATCCTTAGCTGTTCAAGGGCAGTCAATGTAATCGATTCTACTCTGCAAATACTAACATAATAAGAAAAGTGATACCCATAGCTACGGATTAATCACAACAACTAAAATGTTTCAAAAGCATTAAACTTTACCGTTACGGTTCTAAAATAAATGCAGCTTATGAGGATGTTGCAGATATTTTTACAGAATGGCTCAAAATACAGGACAAGAGGAAAAAAAAATTGTGAAATTTTTCTGTTTTTGTGCTTCCCACTACTTTAGAATTAATTTTTTAAACAATGCAGAAGTTGCTCCCCTCCTTACCAGCGTATACAAATACGCTGCAAAATTTAGACTACGAGCATAATAAAAAATTTAAAGGTGTTTTCTATAAGAAGAAATTAATTTCGTAACAGACATAACATACTGCTGGAAATATCAAAAAAGAAACATAGAAGTATTTGAAACTATGGATAGAGTCGGTTTGAATGCCTAACTCTCACTGCAATTTTTGGATATGATTTTCTCTGGCTTGGATTCAACTAAAATCAGAAACGGTTAATCGTTTTATCCAAAAAGCTTACAAATTCAGAATCAGCGAAAATGGTGGTGAAACTAATTATATGTAAAGATGACTGAAGTCTCTTGGAAGCTGGCATTGATTTCTAAGAATGTGCAAATTCTCATCCTAGACTAATAAAGTTGTGCAAATGAAAAACTTATGGAAAATAGATTAGCTGATGAAATCGAATGAATGAAATAAAAATGAAGCATTAATCTCACCTTATTTTCAAGATGCATTTCACCAGTTGACTCGCTGAGTCAGCTGGGATTTCTGAAATCTAAATTTTAGTTCATGTGTCTAAACCATCATGCTAGAAACGAAATCCTCTAAATTTTTACATGACTTTTATTTGAACTGAATTTTCATATGCAGTTTCAAATTGAAATTTTCAGAATAAAGACCTAAAAAATACTCGTATATTTTGATTTTAAATGTGATTGTTAATTCATGTAATATAACGATAGTCACATGCTATGCATGCTAGTTACTTTTATGTTAATTTATGCTACTCTTAAGTGTCTGAATGTGGGAATCTGGTACCCTAGACGCACTCTAAGAGCAAGGTAAGATTATATATAATTATGGGAGAAAGAGGTAGTCAAACTGTATACATATGGTAGTCGGTTTGTCAGTTGATTGTGGAGAAACATGCAAGGGCTCTCTTCCTTAGAAAGATTGCCTTGTGGAAAATTTTTAAGCAAAGTTGACAAATATTCATATAGCAAACTGCAAAACCTCAAGGAAAATAAAATCCACAAAATACATGACGATGCTAAGCCTCACCTCCGGTATCTGGGATATATCATCTGGAGCTTTATTTTGCAAAGGCACCAGTTAATGAGGATACAGATCTTGCGGCCGTTGTCCGCTAATATTCCCGGAAGAAATTATCAACCAGGCTGATACGATTGCAAGAATACAATTTGATATAGTATAAGCATACTTCTGGAAAAAACTGTTGTAGCGGATGCTGTATCTAGAATTAAGCTAGATGATGACAGAACGAAGTGAAATATGCAATATTTAACTTAAAAAATTTTTACGTTTTGAAACAGTTACAGCAGAACTATAAACAGAATCGGAATTGTTAAATATTTCTGCATATTTAAAAGATTCCTACCACTCTGAACACCGGTTTAAAACTGATGTTATGAGCAGATTTGCAAGTTATGAAATAATTGACAATCTTTTGTTTTTCTTTAATATAATAAATAATAATAATGAATTAACCTTTTCCGGAGGGACTGAGACATATATATTCTGCACTTTCACTGCTTTAAATTTATCTCAAGAAATTTCAGTAAACAATGGAGATTTAAAATTTACTCCTTTATAGGGAATAAATAGGACGTGTAAGTCGATATGTTTTTTTGCTCCTTCCTTTCAAAATGGGTGAATAAATGGCCCTTATATGTTTAAAATTATTCCCTACATCCCGCGGGAAAAGGTTAAGACAAGTTATCCACAGTAGTTTAAGATAAGTAGTTTGCAGGAACTGCGTGATGCGCCTTCTTCAAGCCATCTCGAAATAAGAAAAACAGTCCAGAGAGTAAAGGAAGCTATTTATTTACCACAGCTATATAAGTTTGTAATACCATATATGAAATACTGTAACATTTACCTGTTAGTTAACGATATAATTATAGCCCGGCCGGGTATCCTAAATAGCATAAAAGCTACTTAATGAATTGATAGGAAATGACCTACTTCGCCCCTACACATGTAGTGAAAATGGTGAAAAAAATATTTTGCTCGTAATTGCTGATCATTTCTCAAAATGAATAGAAATAATTCCCCTCAAAATTGCTAATTTTTAAATAAAATTTCGATATTAATTTTTAAATAAATTTAT